CTGATGGAGCGTAGTGTGCGGGACGCGTTCCTGGGCCGATCCTGACTGTTTTGTCCAAGCGCGTCGACCGGAGCAACGACTTGGCTGTCAAGTGCCCCCTCCCCCCCCCCCTTGTACCGCGTCGTTCCTGCCGCTACCGCAACGGTCTGCCCGCTAACGGGCAGGAGAAGCAACAAACTCCAGCAAACCCACGAAGGACAAGGAGAGAAGGAGAAACCGCCGTGTGTTATTGCTCTTTGACCCGCTCCCCCTCCCCAGACAAGACACAACACGCACGATACGACGAAACCACCAAGAGTGCTTCTGGTCTTCGTCTTCTTTTTTCTCGCCTCATCCATTCCCTTGCCCGCCAGCATTTACTCGTTGCTCTTGCGTTTCTCACGCAGGTCCCATCAGCATTCTTTGATTCGCTTTGAAGTGGGGGAAGAAGCTTGGGCGCGATCCATCGTCAATGCGACCGCCAGCTCGCGCGTAAACAAAACAGCCGCTTATAGGTATGTCCTCTCAGTACATTGATTGCTTCATTGTTGTTTTGCGGGCACGATCCTTTCTCATGCGGGCTACCTGTTCTTCCATCGCTTTCTCTGTTCAATGCTACACCATGCCTGCAATGCCGCCGACGCCGTTCAAGCTGACCACCAGCCCCTTTCAGTTTCGTCATCGCCGCCAGCACGATCGCCAGCATCACACGACCATGGCGCAACCCGACCGGTCTCGACCGGGCCCCCTCAACTCCCACCCTGTCTTCTCCCCGAAGAAGCCCCTCAACAGAGCGGACAAGTCGCATGACTCCAGCTCAAGCTCCGGCTCGGGCTCGGCGCCGCGATCGCCCACTAAGGCTGGCTCGCGCTTCCAGGAGGGTTCTATGAATGACCGTGCCTCGGCTGTCCCGCCTCTGAGCTTCATTGGCACCGAAGCTGATTTTGAGCGTCGTATCCGCCTCGACTATCCTGGCCGACACGGCGCCGCTTCGGCCCTTGCTGGCTCTGTCCAGCAGCAGCAGCAACATCAGCAAGAGCAACAGCAACAGCAGCAACAGCAACAGCAGTCCCAAAACCAATATGACCAACGACCCGCCAGCGCGGCCGGTAGTTTCATTGGCACCAGCGGCAAGAAGGGCTTCTGGGGCGGATTGAAGGAAAAGCTCAGCTTCTCGAGAGACAGGAACGCCAACGGGACTAAGCGACCCGTAAGTCTCGACTCCAAGACAACCACACCCGCAGGCATGGCTGCTTTTCCAGGTCTCGACATGGGTAGCGATGGCAAGATGCCCAGCCGCGAGGAAATCACTAGGAACTATGAGCAACTCATGCAGAGCGGCTTCTTCGCTTCGCACGCATCCAGTCGA